ATAAAATATAACTATGATATTCTAATCAAATTAATAGCATTTTCTTTTATTATTATTTTAGATATATTAAATATACAAAAAAGTAATTATTAAATACTAATTATTACATTAAGATTAATGTTCTAAATACATAATTAATTAGTATTCATCTTTAAAGAGGTATTTTCCAGTTTCAGTGTAGTTAGCTACTTTTTATACAGGTACTTCAGCACCAACGCCCGGTATTAGCAATACTACAGAAAGATTGCTATTATTACATCTTTTAAAAACTAAAATGATGCCAATGATACCAGTGTTTCTGCAGTGCTGGTACCAACTCTATTCACCACCCGTGTGTGACTGACAGGTGACAGCAGACGTGTCAAAAGAGATCTGCCTATTATTATCCTTAAAACTGAAACTGAACCCCTGCCTCCCACATGTCAGAAGACTGTGTGCTAGGCCACAACATTAGCTGCTGAATAATGAGCATCAAAACATCCCAATAACAATGTGTGTGCATGTTATTTTAAGAATTAATTCAGGAGACACGGCATAAAGTGACAGAGGTGAATCCAGTAATGGACACATGGACCTGCAGCACCTGTGCAGAAAATGCCATTAAAAAAAAAAGAATTACGTGAAGCGGTTACCAATAGCAACCCTGTGTGCAAAGCCCACACACTTTAAAAATTAATATAAAACTCCTGGTGATTCACTGAGGCTTTTCCCTTCAGCGGAAATAATCGATGATAACAGGTGTTACTGTCAGAGGTGCGGCGTTTGATTTACCCTCTTACAGCACCACCTCACAAGACCTCACAGAAGGGATGGATTTGATCGTTTTCAGTTGCTAATTTCTAAGAGTTATAAATTGACACTTTTCAATGGTTAATAAAGGGCTAGTTCACCCAAAAATGAAATTTGCTATTAATTAACTCACCCTCAGGCCATCCAAGAGGACTTTTATTGTTCAGTACAGTAGAACAGTAAATATGATTTTTAGCTGAAACCGTGGTCCTTGGTGATTCATGAAATGCAAGTCAACAGCTACTGTCACTTGAGAGTCAAAAAGAAGCATATACAGGCAAGACCAAATTATTACCTGTGGCTCCTGACGATATATTGAGGCCTTATGAAGCGAAGCAATTGGTCTGTGCAAGAAACAAAATAGTATTAACAACATTATTACCTGTAATCCAGAGCCTCAGGCAAACGGAGTTTGATTATTTTCATTGAACTGATACTTTCATACAGTTCATTTCTATAAACTGGTTCAAATTAACTGATTCACCAGTTCTTTTACACAGTCACGCAATGATGTAACATATATGCAATTATATTATTAAAGCACCCAATAATGATGTGAAACGTGGATGTTTTAGGAGCCGTTCAGGTTTTTTGAGCGCTCAAGTTCGTTATTTCGCGCTCATAACGGAAGCGCGGAAGGTCATGTGATAAGAACCAACCAATCAGCTTCATCCTTTCCCGTAACAACATTGAAAGCTCAGCCAAGAGGAAGGAACAGCTGATCATAGATGTACAGGGATAGCCATTTTTAAATAAATTTAGTAGCAGAGCTACTGCAAGCGATTTTTAGTGATGAAAATCCATTTATCCTTTGCTGAAACTTCCACATTTTCATGGAGAGATCAGGTCATTGTTACTTAGCAACGGCATACGCCTCCGGAGCGCAAGTGCCCGAACGCTTTGGAAAAAAGCAGAAAGCGGCGCGCCTAGCGTTTTCCACACGTTTTTAGGTGCGACATGTGAACGGCCCCATACGTGTCTAAAGCATATAAAGTGAATAAACTTAATCATCAAACATTTTACATAAACCATGAAAAAGCATAAAAACGTTCGCCCATTCATTCAAGTGCTCAGTTCACGCATGTGCATATCAGCGGTCTTCGGTCCAAGTCGAACTGTTTCCTCGGTTCAGTGACTGTTGGAGGAACTGGAGCGCTGAATGAGTTAATTCATCATTTCTATAAACTGGTTCAAATTAACTGATTCACCAGTTCTTTTACACAGTCACGCAATGATGTAACATATATGCAATTATATTATTAAAGCACCCAATAATGATGTGAAACGTGGATGTTTTAGGAGCCGTTCAGGTTTTTTGAGCGCTCAAGTTCGTTATTTCACGCTCATAACGGAAGCGCGGAAGGTCATGTGATAAGAACCAACCAATCAGCTTCATCCTTTCCCGTAACAACATTGAAAGCTCAGCCAAGAGGAAGGAACAGCTGATCATAGATGTACAGGGATAGCCATTTTTAAATAAATTTAGTAGCAGAGCTACTGCAAGCGATTTTTAGTGATGAAAATCCATTTATCCTTTGCTGAAACTTCCACATTTTCATGGAGAGATCAGGTCATTGTTACTTAGCAACGGCATACGCCTCCGGAGCGCAAGTGCCCGAACGCTTTGGAAAAAAGCAGAAAGCGGCGCGCCTAGCGTTTTCCACACGTTTTTAGGTGCAACATGTGAACGGTCCCATACGTGTCTAAAGCATATAAAGTGAATAAACTTAATCATCTAACATTTTACATAAACCATGAAAAAGCATAAAAACGTTCGCCCATTCATTCAAGTGCTCAGTTCACGCATGTGCATATCAGCGGTCTTTGGTCCAAGTCGAACTGTTTTCCTCGGTTCAGTGACTGTTGGAGGAACTGGAGCGCTGAATGAGTTCATTCATTATAGGATCAGATATGCCTGTATTTTGGCTCACTTTGAGTCAAGAGTGACTGTCTGGCATCCAGAAGTGAGTTTAGATTGAGTAACTTGTAGATCTGTGCTGCTTGAGTCACAAACTGTTTCAGGTCGGTTCAGTCCGATTTGGTGAACTGCTTCAACTAGTTCACTAAACAGAACCAATTCAAAAGACTGATTCGTTTGTCAAACCGGGCATCACTCCAGACCGTTTGCCTGAGGCTACAGATTACAGGTAATAATGTTGTAAATAATGTTCAGTTTCTTGCATAGACCGATCAATTCGCTTCATAAGCACTCAATATATCATCAGAAGCAACGGTTATTAATTTTGTGTTGCCTGATATGCTTTTTTTGACTCTCAAAGTAACGGTAGCCACTGAATTGAATTCAATTAATCACCAAGGACCACGGTTTCAGCTAAAAATCATCTATGTTCTACTGAACAGAAAAAGAAAGCCATCTTGGGTGACCTAAGAGTAAGCAAATTAACAGTAAATTTCATTTTTGGGTGAACTATTTCTTTAATATTGGTTATGAATGTGAGGCTGATTGATGCAGTGATTTTATTATTAGGAACGTGCAAATACTCATTTAACATGTGAAGAAGAAATCTTAAGGTAAGGCTTTAAAAAAAAACAAGCTAATTAAATCAAGGATAAGAGTGAAGTTGAAAAATGATGATGAAAGGATATCAGGGGAAAAAAACAGTAAGACATTAAGTTCTGTTGTGCAAAATCATGACTATTTGCGCTATGCGCTGAGAAAATGATGCCGCATTGTTTGGTTGGTGAGAGCATAAGGATGGCGGCTTTGCTTTCAGCGCCTGTTGATTCTCTCATAGGAGCATTTCTATTAAATTGCATGAGGACAGGGCTAGAAGGAAAGTATTCTGTCAACTTGCATCAAGAGATTTACCCGAGATTCACATTTACTTGAAATTGCATTTCACAGGGGCCTCCACACTGTGTGAACGCTCCTGTATCCATTAGCTCCCAGCACATTTATTTTTAATAAAACCCCCTCAAATCTCTCCGGCTCTGTTGCACAGCACAGTGAGTGACTTCTAAGGACCAGCATCCAAACCACAATGGAACTACATAGGTGACTTATCTGGAACGCTCTACAAATGCAGAAACTCATACAAATAGTGCTCCTCACGCGAAGCATGCCGCAGATTCGACTCAATGAATTCAATTCAATGAAATTCAGCTTTAACATGTTGCTAGGCAAAGATCATGATAACCTAATTACTTAACAATCAAGCATAAATATTCACAGCACACTCAAATAATAAATAGGTAAAATAGTACATTTCTTTATTTTGATGTTATATATTTAAATAGGTTAATCTAATATAAATATAATATAATGCAAATTCATAAATATTAAATAATAACTTAAGTAAAACTTTAGCAATCTAGTAACATCTAAAAATTTTAAATATAATGTATTTAAATACATATATTGTTATATTATAATAATAAATACATTAATAATAAATATTTAACAATTTTAAATTAAAGTATATAATCTATGACTAATTTGGATAAATATATTTCATTGTTATGAATGTAATAATTACAACATATTGAAATAACAGAATATAAATTTATAAATACTAATATAAAACTAATAAATACTATTATTCGATCATTTAAGTAATACTAGTAATATAGTAACATTTAAAATAAATTAACTTTTACTTAATTTCATTTAAAATATACAGTATTATAATATATCGATAATATTAATAATATCAATAAAAAATAAGAAATTTAATTAAAGTATATCATCTTTGATTAATTTGGAGATACAAATACGAATATGAAAATGAATAAACACTATTAATTTACAATTTAAGTAATACTTTAGTAACGCAGTCAAATTTAAAATGACATTTTCCTTAATTTCATTAAAAACACACTCTAATGAAAGTATATCATCCGATTAATTGTATTAATATAGATAATATAAACATCTATTTTATATATTTAATTCAAGATTTGTCTAATTAAAATTTCACTTTGTGCTGAGTTCTTTTGCAGTGCATTATGGGATTGTCTTATCCATGAGTGCATGCAATACTGCCTTAAAATTTGGCTAACATTTTAGAAGACAGCACAATCATTTTGGAACAGCCTGGGCAAAATTCTGCCTTGCGAGGACAGCTCATTAAGTTTTGGACCAGAGCCTCAATCTCAGCCTGGTCATCTGGTCATAGCTGCATCCACGCCACAGGTCTTCCCCAGCAGCAGGGGGCAGTATTGAGCACACAGACGTGTGGGGGTGAACATACCGACACATGTTGGCACAGTGCCGTTCCACTGGGCCAGTGAGTTGGGCACTGCCTCACACCTGATGGCACTAGCACCATGCAGAGTGTAACCTGGGTTACACTCGAAAAGCACCACCGTGCCCAATCCAAAGTCATTCCCAACGCGCTTCCCATAGCGAGGCTCGGGCACGGAGCTGCACTGGGAAGCGCTGGTCCTTGGAACAGCTGCAGAAACGCAAGAAGAAAAAGCTTATGGTTGTTTTTTTTTGTTTTTTTAATTTGCAAAACAAGTATACACTACCGTTCAAAAGTTTGGAGTCACTATTTTTTTTGAAATACTTTTATTCAACACCAACACATCAAATTACACGAAATTAATCAAAAGCGACGGCTGTTGAAAATTCAGTTTTGCATCACAGGAATAAATGACATCTTAAAATATATTCAAAGAGAAAACAGTTATTCTAAATTGTAATAATATTCCACAATATTATGTTTTTTACTATGTTTTTAATCAAATAAATGCAGCCCTTTTTTAACAAAAAATTTTACCGACCCCAAACTTGTACAGAAGTGTTGCAGTATACACTATACTGAATACATATTTTGTATTAAAAAAATCATTCTAATAAAATAAAACATAAAAATGTTTAAACTATAGATTTATCAATTTATCATCAGTTATTTTACATAAACTACGATATATATATATATATATATATATATATATATATATATATATTGTTTGTAGTATATTAGTTACACTAGAAATAGAAGATTGAGCACATTGCATCATGAAATACATTATTCCACACAATGTACTGTGTAAATGTCACATTTTATGCATACAGTGCTATTTAATGCAGAAATACCGTTATTTAAAAGAAAAAGGTACATATGGCACACTGCAAAAATAGCATGAGTAGTATGGAAGTAATCTTTTCCAAAATAGCCTTAAGTGATTAGTTAAGAAGTACATACCTTGATACACAAAATGAAAACCTTTAGCTGTGTTTGGTCCCTCGGTTTTGAACCTGATGGTGATTTCATTGGCAGAGCTCAGTGGCAAAGGCTCTCCTATCAAAAGAGAAATTTGAGGAGGTGAGGAAAAGAAAACAAGTTCTGTTATCTGTCTGCAGCTACAGCAATGGCATAAATGAGACCATTAATACGCCTGCTGAGTGCTGCCACATCAACAGGGTTAAAGGAAATCATGTATCCTCAGTACACCAACAAGAGCGGTCCAAAAGTTGGAGACTACGAGTGAAAATGTGTGGATCGCATCCTTTTCTACTTTAATACAAATTATATTACATACAGCATCAGCATAATTTAAGTGAAAAATTTAATTGAAAAAATTTACTTTAATGTCACTCGTTTACTTACACTGAATTTTATATAATATAATTATATAAAGTTTTATATATAATATAATATAATATTACATTAATCATTAGGATCATTAATACATTTAGGGTGACAGCATTAATTTTACATTTTAATTTAATGTTTAGTATGTGATATTTAATATTTAGTATATCTATTAAATATTATAATAATAACAACAACATTTTATTTTTTATATTTATATTTTACTAGATTACTAAACTATTACTTTATTACATTTTAAATAGTTTATTACATTATAAATGTATATTTATAATTGTGTATGCTATGTTATGTTACGTTACGTTACGCTACGCTACGCTACATTACGCTACGTTACGTTGTTACGTTCCAACTGCTTGTCAGAAGCCCATTAACAACAACACAACATTCAGTGCAGCAGAGCCGTTTTAGGAATGAGATCTGACTGTGGCAGTCCTCCATGTAGTTCAATGTCATCTCGCCTCAGCAGACGTGCCTTTAGTTGGTCTCACGTGGTGACGGTAAACAAAGCCTTTTACCAGAGTGAGAGCCGTGGGCAGAGGTGAGGAGTGGAGACTCTGTCGAGGGCCCATCAAAGATCTCAAGCATCTCATTAGGGGTCGTCTGGAAGAACATAAACTGGCCGAAGAGAACTGTAGTGAGAAACAAAGGAAAGAACTTCTTAAAACTTTCTTAAAAACTAAAAACATCCACTGTTGTTTACTGGCCGTAATTAATTTGCTTTAGTATATAAGACCTGATTACAGTGTATTTATATCTTTGCAGGTCAGTGTCTCTACAAATTATTTTTTATCAGTTGGCATCCCTCCCAAAGGAAGATTTTTATGCTGAGATGTAGAATGAATAGAATGAAGTCGAGTCAGCATGAAATCAAACATGGCCTTATTTACTTTATAATAGATGTAGACAAAATGAGTTTAAGTTGTAAGTGGTAAGTCACCCCTGGCAAGATGAGGGTTTAATAAAAGTTTATGCAAGAGAAACACAATTTATTTTTCTTTTTTTTTAAATCAGTGCTACATGAATAAGAGGAAAAAGGCTGTGGCAAAAAAAACAAAACTGTTAATTTACTTATATTACTGACGCTGTAACAATACAATGCTGGTGGAAAATCGGCAAACTTATCCTTTAACTGTTGACATGCAGTAATAGATGAAGGTGGATAGGTCATTTGTTTATTAAAGAGTTTTATGAGACATATTGAAGTTCATAAGGAGATCTCTGCCTATTTGTTTGTGTGTGTGTATTTATTTATTCATAAAAATAGTATTTCTGTTATAAAAAAAAAATTGAATTAAAGAAAATTAAAGGGGTCATATGATGCGATTTCAAGTTTTCCTTTCTCTTTGGAGTGTTACAAGCTGATTGTGCATAGATAAGATCCCGGAAGTCGCAAAGACTAAAGTTTCAAAACCAAAGAGATATTCTTTTTAAAAGTTAAGACTCTGACACACTCCCTAAAACGGCTCATTCTAACACGCCCCCACATATCTACATCACTATGTGGGAATATTTGCATAATGCGCCCAAATGTGCACGCAAAGAAAGAAGGCGTGGTTTCAGGAACCGCAGTTAGTGTTGAAGCAGCATGTCAGGGAGACGCTGTGTGTTTCAGTGTGAAAGCAAAAGCACTTTATTTGGCCTTCCGAAAGTAGATGCATTTAGGAATCTTTAAGATGACTTACAACAGAACAGCAATGCATTTTATGGACAACCGTTTCGTGAACCTAGGAGAGGAGGTAATTCTGACTTTGCTATGACAATCTGGCGCTTCTGAATCAGCTACTGTTTTGTCATTAGTTTAAGTACTTGCTATTGACTGTTCAAGAAAATTAAAGGGGTCATATGATGCGATTTCAAGTTTTCCTTTCTCTTTGGAGTGTTACAAGCTGATTGTGCATAGATAAGATCCCGGAAGTCGCAAAGACTAAAGTTTCAAAACCAAAGAGATATTCTTTTTAAAAGTTAAGACTCTGACACACTCCCTAAAACGGCTCATTCTAACACGCCCCCACATATCTACATCACTATGTGGGAATATTTGCATAATGCGCCCAAATGTGCACGCAAAGAAAGAAGGCGTGGTTTCAGGAACCGCAGTTAGTGTTGAAGCAGCATGTCAGGGAGACGCTGTGTGTTTCAGTGTGAAAGCAAAAGCACTTTATTTGGCCTTCCGAAAGTAGATGCATTTAGGAATCTTTAAGATGACTTACAACAGAACAGCAATGCATTTTATGGACAACCGTTTCGTGAACCTAGGAGAGGAGGTAATTCTGACTTTGCTATGACAATCTGGCGCTTCTGAATCAGCTACTGTTTTGTCATTAGTTTAA